CCATTTCCATTTTCTAAGGTTAGGGATTTCGGGTTGGGGAATATGGGTTTTTCTATGGGGGTGTTGGTGTATGGTGTTTTGGTGGTTACATGCTAGGAATATTGTATGGGTTTTTGGGTGAGTATGGGGTTGAGGTATAGGTTGTGATGATTTGCACAAATAGGGCGAAAAGGGGGGTGCATGATTAGAAAATGGAAATGGTCATCTCTAACTTATAGTAGGTACCTGGGGGTTAGGGTTCTGCAGGTCTTTAAGATATAAGGTTGTCGGAACTACCCGGACCTGGTAAGGTTTAGGTTTTTCTTTTTCTCGGATTTTAGGGTTTAGGGTTTATACGCGTTTGAAGACCTTTGTAGTTTGATCAGCATCGGTCTCGCATCCCGGAGAGCAGCTGGATGGGCAACTGCTGAATCTAGTGGTTAGGGTAAAGCTCTATCTACCTTAAACGACCACAGCCTGCCATTTTTAGCATCTTAAACAAGGCCCGGAACCAGATGGGAAATTCTCTAAATTAGGGTCTCTTGTTAGGGTCCTTTTTGCAAGGGTGCCGTACTATAGATGGGACCTAAATACGGGACCCAAATTTAGAGAACTACCCATAATTTAGGGGCCTTAGAAAACTACCCATACTATATTTTGTGGGCTCCTTATTACTGGTTTAGTTTTAGGGTTTAGGGGTTTAGGGTTTTTAAACCCTAAACCCCTAAACCCTAAAACTAAACCAGTAGGCTGCATTGAGACCAGACGCTGTGAAGCCATCTGCATATCCCTCGCCGGATCCGGCCATCAGCTGCCGTCCCTGGCACGCAGAACTCCCCTAGTCGGAGGGCTCGGCTTGGGGTTTAGGGGTTTAGGGCTTAGGAAGTTTAGGGGTTTAGGGTTTCGGGTTTAGGGTTTAGGGGTTTGGGGTTTAGGGTTTACGGGTTTGGTGTTGTGGGGTTTAGGAAGTTTAGGGGTTTAGGGTTTAGGGGCTTAGGGTTTAGGGGTTGAGGGCAAGTGTACTATAGGGGCCTTTATACTTCGAATGAGGAACTCCAAGATACCACTGATAATTATCTGGGCCCCTCTATTACTTGAATGACCATGGGGAGCTGAAGGTCATACCCTCTATGTAAAACCTATACAACGTCCTCACGGCTGGTGGGATGTTCTAGACGGAGTTCCAGTCTCTGCAGCAGAAGGGGAGACGACAGGTTCAGGGTGTACTTTTGGGGGCGGCGTACAAGCAAGCCAGAATCAATCCGGCAAAGTTCTCACACTTTCTTAGTGACGAGGGGCTCTGCATGTACCTGCACATCCCTTCTCCTGACAAGACTCCCGGAAATGATCTACGAAGTGGTATAGGTCTACGTGCTTTGGGCAGGGAGAGATCGCCGTGGGACTGCCGGCTGACCCACAGAACACGAATCCCCATGCACAACCCGAATGCCCATGTTGCGCAGAATTGGGCTCACGAGACTCCTGACTATGATAGTTTTCAGCAGCTGTGAAGAAATACAGTTTCTCCATCGTCGTCGTCAGCATCACAAGTAGCAGAGCAAGTGTTCATTCAGCACTGGTCGCTGCGAAGTTTGTCGATGTGGTCATCGCCACGGCAACAGTAGTCGTCCTGCTATCACAGAATAGTACGCACGCAACATCCTTTCGCGGCCAATTACATCACGTACTAAAAATGTATGGGAGTTTCCGGAAATTAGGGTACCGTATTTTGGGGTCCCTATAACAAGGATCATACTATTTAGGGTACTGTGCAATATTAGGGCCTTTAGGGTCCCCTATTTTCGGAAACCTTCATATACACGAGCAGTGAGGGAGGAGACCAACGATCTGATAAAATGTCAAGCCAGTTTAGGGCTCAGAGTTCATAAGCACATGCTATTGATGTAGGGGCCTTAATACATCAGAATGGGGTTTTGGGGTACATTATGCTATAAGTATAAGAAGGAGCCCCCAAAAGAGTATAGGTAATTATGAAGGCCCCTATATTACCTTAAACCTTCAAGTCAAGCCTTTGACATCTGAAGAGGAGCCCCCGGCCTGGCTAGCGACGGTTTTGCCGGGGTGCCAAGCGCATGGCAAAACTGCTGGGCCCGGGGGTGCCTCCCAACCTAAAAGAAACCAGCGCTGTTTCTGCGGGCTTCTAAAGTCTAGAGTCTAGACTCAGACTACATGAGCATTCTCACGCCGTAATGACGGTGGTGACATCGCTTCTGGACTCTTTTCCGGAAATTATGTTCTCTTGGTCTCTGGTGGCTCGCACTGCTTTGGCTAAGGCTTAGCATGGCTGGTGGGGTTGAAGGGGGGTTGCTTCGCAGAAATGCCCCCGCGGTTGAGGCCTACAAGGCACCTATAAGGTTTCTGGCGGGTCACCGCACTCTGCTGATGCATGTTCATGGGAAGCTTGAGCAGGCATCGGCATCGGCGGAGCATCTGATCATATGCGCGAGAGCAGCAGCTACAATTTAGGAGAGAGCTCGTCTTGACGCTCGACCCCTGCGAAACGATCCTGAATACCACACTTCTTTTTTCTGCTTCGTGTCCGAAGGCATGCTGTAACCTTCAAACCCTAGCCTAGAGCGCACTAAACAGGAATGAGCTATTGTCATCAAGACGGTCGTGGTCTAATCATTGCAGGTCAACCAGAGGCTTGAAGCCGTCAACAGGGTCGAAGTCAGGATCGTCCTCAACGTCCTGCAGCTCGAGAGCTTCATAGCAACATGCTCAAGGTATGCAGCTGAAATCCCAAAGCTGTCATGGAGTCTATCTGACAACGCTCTAGGTCCTGGAGTCTGTCTGCCCCCAGAATTACTGCATTAACTCGGCCGGCCTCATCTTCGTCGTCATCATCCGACTCCTCTTGGGCGTCATCGTCATCATCAGGCTTCGGCTTGCTGCTACCATCCGGGTCGAACTTGGCTCCGTTCGCAAAGGTGATGTCGTCGGAGTTGCACCAAGCCTAAGCTTGGAGACAGACTTGCCAACCTTCCTTCCTTCCACGGATCTTGAGTTCTCGTGCGTGGGGCACTCCCCCGTCCTCGTTACAGGGCTGCCATGAGGAGCTCGCTCTCTCTCTCTCGCTCTCGCCCTGCACACCTGTATAGATGCATCAGCACACACGCACACAAACACACAGAGACGTTGTCACACGAACACAGACGCGGATGTATATATGTCTCTTATCTCTGTATATATCTCAATATATATATATATATATGTATGTGTATATATATATATAAAATTATACACAAACAACTGTGATAAAGTGTTTTTATCTATGTGAATCGATATATAGATATGTCTACATATACATGTCTATATCTATATATACACATGTGCATAAGCCCCATGCCAGTCCCTTCTGCATAGACATGCATATACAAACACATACACATGTACACATGTACATCGACAGAAACTTATGCGCACACGGACACCAACACACACACACACACACATACACTCTTGCTTACACTTGTGTCTACGCACGTATTTAGACACACAGCACATACTGGTAGCAGTCATGAGCACACGCGCACGCGGACATCAGCATACACATATGCAGATATAGGAATATGTACATACATACACACATACAGTTATCATACACGCAGTGATAAACACACGATTGTACAAAAAGAATCATGACTGTATATTGCATATGTTTACAGAGGTACATGGACATGTAGGTATGTATGTATGTTTACGAACATGCATCGCATAGAGTAAACGCCAAAAAGGTGGAAACCGGATTAAGGACAAGTCGTGCTGGGACTCCCTATACATTACTCTTATAAGGATTGAGGCTATTAGGTCTCCAACTTTGGGACTTCTACTGTACATGCATCTAAAAAAAAAATATATATATATATATTTATATATATATATTCATATTTATATTTATATTTATATAATGTGGAACGATATGTGTGCGTGTGTGTGTGTGTGTCTGTCTGTCTGTCTGTCTGCCTGCCTGCCTGGCTGGCTGTCTGTCTGTCTGTCTGTCTCTGTCCGGTTGCGCCTTTGCGTCTGTCGGTCTGTCCGTCGCCTGCCTGATGCCTGCCTGCCTGCCTGCCCCCTCGAGCTGAACCAGCTTACTGCTGTCCGCTGCAGTCGCGTCCATCTTCCCTGAACCTGGAACAATAAGTCTCTGTATCTGGGTTGAACAATGAACAGTATGTCTTCTGATAAACAACAGCCTGGATTGATGCAAGCACTCCCAACTATGGGAACTATGGTGGCAACAGTGCCTTGGAGGAGTCGACCTTTGTCCGAGTAGCGCCGCCGCAGTTGATGCATGTGTTCTCGGAGCTGCTGCAATAGTTGTTCACATGGGCGACGCTGCTCGGTCCGTACGCGGAGTGGCAAGCGTCAGCCTTGTCGCCTTGACGCTCGAAACACTTCCAACTCATATAGCAGGGAGATCGAGGGTGCAGTATTTACGGCTTGCCGTAAATCACGAAGTGTGGGAACAAGCACTGCGATCTCTTGATTCGTTATCTGTATGCCGATGTCAACATCATCGCGGTCCTTGCCGACAACATCAGCGATATAGCCGTTACTAGCGGCAGAACCATCATCAGCATGAGCCTGTGCTGTCTTTGGTGGTGGTAATGGCTATGGTACCGACAATCAGAATAACTAACATGGGCGTGTGATGGTTTGTTGCCATGGCACTCGGGCTGTTGATAGTGGTGGTGCTGCTGCTGATGATGCTGCTGATGATGAGGATGATGAACATCACATCATCAGGGTCATCATCATCATCGTCGTCATCATCATATGATAAAACTACAGTAACGACCGTGTTCCCTACAACACACGTCATCGCGACCACCATGATGAAGGCACCAGTGATGGCGGTGCTGGTGACCGTAGGTATCCAAAACATTGTCTTCGTGATCGTCATGCTCATCGCGATCGCTAACCCTCGTCGTAAAGTTCAAAGTCATTAAACCCTAACCCCCCCAGGTACCTACTATATAGGGTACTAGAGCCCCTAAGGCCCTATATAGTAGGTAACTGGGGGTTAAGGAAACATCAGCATCATTACAGCCTTCACGACCATGGTCATCTTCTTTTTCACTATCCACGACACCAGCTTCTCTGCTTGTGGCAGCATCGCAGAGAATCTACAACTAATATCGGGGTCTGGAAAACTGGATAGTAGTAGCACTTCTATACATAATGACAGTATGACGGTATAGTATGCTCCTGGCACTATCGGGCTGTTTCGGGCAATTTCATGGTTCTGACTCTTTGGAGTGGAAGCCATCAAGGAACCATCCGCTCCGAGTCACTGTAGGCCGTCACACACCTGGGAGCTGCGCACCAATTGCCTCCGCAAGTACCGCACTTGGACTTGCTGGCACAGTTGATGTCCTGGGAAACGTCCAGGCAAGCTGTGCCTGAGCTTCCCAGAGCAAGAGGCACCCTGGTTCAGATAAAAAGGAGCTCCTCAAATCGAATAGGGATTTGGGTTATGTTACAGCATAGTTAAGCATCATGATAATGGGTTTATCAAACGTTATCACGGGCTAGCACTAGTAAATCACTTTCGACTGTCATGGGACTCTGAATGCAAGGTTGGGCTACAACCAGTGTCGAAAGAAGTATCCCACACTTTGCAACTACTAGTTGTAAACATTGCACAACTGTGATATCTAGCATTCCGATACTAGCTCTCTGATGTCCAAGAAGATTCCTCCGGAGCGATCTGGAAGAAGCAAGGCTTTGAACATCTTTGGAACCGCAAGTCTTATACACGGGCTTACGATTTCGTTTGCAGCCGCGCGCTCTGCAGACACCGACACGTGAAATTTCAGATTGTATCTCCTGTATAAGGGTTTACCCATAGGCCCCGTAGTAGTTCCTTTTTGGGGTTCATACTTAGAATCCTATAAGGTACCTATGGGTAGGGCTTAGGGTCACCAGCCCTGGAAACAATACCACTCCCAAACCCCCCCCCCCAAGCACGCCTTGAGTCACACCTTCAGAGCCCCATCAATACTTGCAATCTAATATAGCATAATTACCTATACTATTTTGGGGGTTCCTTAGTATGATTATAGTATAATGGGCCCCCAAGCCCTCTTCTAATTATTAAGGCCCCTACATTACACGGCAAACCCGTAGCAGTGCAACGTCGGACCAGGGCACACATGTCCTTCGCGAAGGAATCTCCCCGGTAGCAGCAGAAGCCACCCGTTGCCACTGCATTTGCGGCACTTGCGGCACCCGTGTTCTCGTTGACCTATGCAGAACAGCCCTCGAACCCGCTTCAACTGCAGGAAATATGCCTTGCCATAGCAAAGTTCGCTTAGGAGTGCATCCGATGCCTATCCACTAGGACCGCACCTGTTGCCCCAAGCATCCATGCCCCATGGATGTGTACCCGTTCCCCACTGCACATGGTCTAGTGAGTGTTGAGGCCAGAGCATCCATGGCCCAACCATGACAACGGCTCACCTAGAAAACTATACAAAATCATAACACGCATTTATTACCGTTTCGAACACAGTAGCTTCACCTTCAAAGCACTGCACCTGCTAGCGAAATCGACCATGCTTCGAAACTAAAGCCATCGGCACCGAAAAAGCTGGGTGATCGTGATCAGTAAAGCAAATTAACGACCTGGTAGAAACCGTTTTGGAGGGTGTGCGAAAGCTCGGAATTGCTGCGCTTGCCAGCAATGTTGCTGTTTTCGTCGGGGCCTCACGGAGTTGGGCGTCTGAAATTTTCTTTTCTTGGGGTAGCTGAGACTGCAGTTTCGTGTTTGACGAGACAAGCTGACAGCGAATCTGAGGAAAGCAAGTCACCGAGCCAGCACCACCGGCGAGCTTCTTGACACCTTTGCCGGGTCCGACATGAGACGGTTAAGGCCCTAAGCCTTACCTGGACCCTAAAGAACCTACCTTTTTTGAGTTCCAATATATATATATATATATGTTCTTTATATAGGTCCTGAAACAGGTAGGCGTATTGGGGTATTAAGGTAAGCCCTAAACTTTGCGGCCGAACCTTACGCTCTTACATCCCGTACCCTAGCCTTACTGAACCCTCGAGTCCCTTTAAATGTCTTACCCCTTTAGAGCCCCCTTTACAAAACTTTCCTCTGCCTAGAGAGAACCCCTAAACCCAGATTTGTACAATGGCAACCATTAGCACTACTATCGTTGCAATTATTCCGACCACTACTACTATGACTATTATTACTACCATGATATTTACTACTCCTATGATTATTAATACTACTATGACTATCATCACTGCTATGATTATTATTGCTACTATGATTCTTACGACTACTATATGACTATTGCATGCTTTCGACCTTAGAGGCCTCGACTTCCGAGGTCGTCCTAGGGCGCTAACGCCATGTACTTCGGGGTTTGGGGCTGCGGGGTTCGGGCCATCTGGCTCAGCGGTTTCGGGTTTCGGGTTTCGGGGTTTCAGGGTTTAGGGTTGTAGGGTTTTGGTGTTTATTTTGATTTGTTGAGCCCTCTCTTCCCTTAGCTATCCGCGACCGGAATTCCTAGCAGGAGGAGGAAGGGTGCAGGACCTCAGGCTCAGAACAAGAACAAGCAGTGCAACCAGAAAGGGTTTCAGGGTTTCGGGGGTGTTCTGTCAGTGAAGATCCAGGAGTTGAGCTGTTGGCCCTAGACGTCGCCGTAGTAGCAGCTGTCGCACGAGGAGGAGAGGAGGAGGAGTTGCTTTGCTGGCAGTGGAAGTAGGATTGAGCTCGGTTTCGACTACTATAATGGCCTGAATAATCAGAATAGGGTTTTGGGGCCCATTATGCTATAAGTACAATAATGAAACCCCAAAATGACATAGATATAGCTAATTATTTGGTCAATTATTTAGGCCCATTGTTAACTCTTGTCAAGTGTTGCTGCATGTCAAGGCACTAAAGCTCCACAGGATAGAGCTCCAAACGCTGACACTTCGCAGATGCAGAGTCCGTATACATATGGGTAGTTCTCTGAATTGGGGTCCCTTTTTGGGTCTCCGATATAGTACGACACCGTTATGAAAGGGACCCTAATTTAGAGAACTGCCCATATACAAGATGCGTATTATTATGTACATGCCTACATACATAGCATACGCGGAATGTGCGGGACTAGGGGTTTAGAGGCAAATCGTCCGAACATATATAGTATAATATGATAGAAAGGTGGCATAACAAGAAACCCTATTTAAAGCTCTTGTTTGGAAGATTTGAAGTAGGCCAACGTCGCAGCTCTAAACCGTAAAGCCCAAACGCAAAAACCCTAAACCCCTCAAACTCAAGAGCTCTGGCCTGTGCGGCACCACTCGCCGCCGCAGGCGCTGCAACCCGCGTGGCTCTTGCCGCAGGTGCTGTTGCTCTCCGCAATGCCTGGCGGCTTTAGTGCACAGCAGCAGTAGTAATAACAGTAGCAGCAGCAGTAGCAGCAGCAGCAGCAGCAGGAGGAGGAGTAGTAGTAGCAGTAGTAGTCATCGTCGTCGTAGAGCACGAGCACTGGAACTGGTCCTCGTACCAGGACAAGGACTGGCACCATCGTACTGCGATTACAAATAACAATAACAATGCTCATCGTTGCAAACATGTTTCTGCTGGTTATAGCACTAGCAACATATTCATATGGGGTTTCCGAAAATAGGGGACCCCAATATAGTACCCCAAATAGTAGGATCCTTATTATAAGGGCCCCAAAATAAGGTACCCCTTATTTTCGGAAACTCCCATATCATGATATGACGACATCCGGAAGACTCGGTTCTTTGGCGACTTTAGCCTTCTGTCCTAGCATTCTCAAGCTGGCCTGAGTCGAAGGCCGTGTTGCACATGTTCTTGGGGTCTTGCGCGCTGATGACGCACTTGGGCCTCAGGCAGATTGAGGTTTGGGGGCATACCAGGACCCCCGAAGGGCCCTTTAATAGAGCCCTTATGGCCCTTAACAGTGGGTACTTAGGGTATATTAGAGGGTAGTTGGGGGGGGTCTATAGGGTTTACTATGGGGTTTACAACTTGGGGTTGAGGGTTGTCTTGTCGCCGGTGAAGCATACTGCACGATAGCTTGTTGGTGCATGTGTTTAGCACATGGTATGTCATCCATACTTGCAGTCCTTAGATGCCTGCATGAACACATACCGTGTCTACTTGCGTAGATCATTATACTCTTAAGTCTTGCTGCCGTAAGAAATGTTCACTGCTATCGCTGCTGTTGTTCTTGCTGCCATGCTTGTCACCTTTACCTCACACACTGTTTTCATATGTTTTCAATATTCCCATCATTGTTGAAACTGTAACGGTTAATGGATGTATGTCGACGGGCGAACGTGAAAACAATAAGCGGCTTTGGGTAGTTCATGGAGTACTCTAAAACAGCCCAGAATCCTCAACCCCTGAACACGAAACCTGAAACCCCAAATCCTGCACCTTGAACCTCAGACCCTGTACGTGGAGGTTCATGGGTAGTTATAAGTGGGGTTATGAGCCCCTTTATGTGGGTGAAAACTACAGTTACCCAACTAACAAAAGCCCACTGATAGCCCTAAAACCCTAAGAACCCCAAACTCCTACACCCTAAACCTACCTATAGACCCACCTATAACTGGCCATGAACCTCCAAGTAGATCATACAGGGGCCTGAATAATTAGAATAGGGTTTTGGGGGGGGGTATATTATACTATACCTATAACAAGGATCCCCCAAAAAAATTGCAGGTAATTATTAACCTAGACCTCGCCAACTACCCTCTAATATACCCTAAATTCCCACTATTAAGGGCCATAAGGGCTCGATTAAAGGGCCCTTGGGGGGTCCTGGTAAGGCCCCTACATTATCTTCTGTCCTTCTCCCCTACCCTAAACCCTAAACCCTAAACCCTAAACGGTTTAAGTCCTTCTGTCCGGGAGGCTCGCACCAGGCACCGCCACAGCTGTCGCACTTCCAGCGGCCGGCAGCGCAGGTGCTTTCGAAGTCTGCCTGAGGTCGGGTTTAGGGTTTAGGGCTTAGGGTTTAGGGATTCTGGGGTAGAGTTTACGTTTATATACATGTGTATGTATGTGTATATATATATATAGGTATATACACATGTATATATATATATATATATGTGTGTGTGTGTACATACCACATATATACATACATATGTGTGTGTACGTGCCACGCACACACACACACATATATATATATATATATACGTATATGTGGTTGTCAAAACTAGGATCTCTTCCGGGCTCCCAAACTATAGGGTGCAGTAGGAAAAGTCATTTAGGGTTCCCCAAACGGACCCTAGTTTAGAGAACACCACAAATATGTATGTATATATACATATATATATATATACATGTACATATATATATATGTATATTCATATATATATATAAATAAATACATCTATATATATATATATATACACTGTGTAGACATATCTTGGTATATATATATATACACACACACATCATATAGAGGTTTTGAAGGCTTTGGTTTTGGGGTTGACAAGGTTTTAAGGTGTAGGGCTTTGCGGTTTAGAGATTCCACGGTTTAGGGGTTAGGGCGGAGGTTTGAGTGGCTGTCAACCTGAGGCAAAGCAAGCTGCCTTCCCGGAGTCACGGACCGTGGAAAACGTCAATCTTAAATTTAAACCTCATACCGACGGGGTCTACAGACAGTTGGGGCAACGAGACTTTGAGGTTTATGGTTGCAGGATTCAGCGCTGAAGGGGGCTCAGCGACCTACATGCAGACAAGCGGCAATGGCAGCAGGGAAGCAGGTGCCACAAATGTCATCCACACTGGCACCATTGTAGCAGCAAACCCCTCCAACCTTATCCTCCCACTCTGCTTGCAACTTGATGTGCGTCTCATTGGGGACTGCTGGAGCCGGCTCAGGCGTTGGCTTGGTGTCGACGGTTTCGGTGGTCTCGGTGGTGTTGCTCGCATCCACCGGCTTGCTGAAATTGTCCGCCGTTGTTTCAGACCCTGGGGCCGTCTCTGGTGCCTCCGTCTTGGTTTCGATAGTAGCATTCACGTCGGAAGGTTTACTGGAGTTGTCCTCCGTTCCCTCAGAGCCTTGGGTCGTTTCTGCTACCACCGGTGCCGGTGCCTCTGCCGGTGCCTCTGCCGGTGCCTCTGCAGGTGCCTCTGCAGGTGCCTCTGCAGGTGCCTCTGCTGTGGCCTCTGCCGTGGCCTCCTCTGTGGCATTCGCTTCAGGCTTGCTGAAAGTGTCCGCCGTCTCCTCAGCCCCTGGGGCCGTTTCTGGAGCTGCGGTCATCGTTTCGACCACTTTGACCGGTTCGTCTTCGCCCATCGCAAATCCTCCACGGGCCATGGGCTTCTGGGCTTAGGGTATAGTGGGCGCGAGCGCGTGGGTGCGCGTGCGTGCGGGGCGCGCGCGTGCGCATGCGTGCGTGCGTGCGTGCG